CTCAGTAGGAAAGGAATCTGCTGTCCAATCATCTATGTTTCAAGATAGTCCTACACGATTAACTCTTACCAAGATAAATTTCAGAATCTTTACAGACATTTTGGAGTCTTGGCCAAATCAAAGGTATTATCTCTAATGTAAAGAACCTAAAGAGGGAAACCATGTCAGAACACCATTTTCACAAAGTAACAACGGGCCCAACATTTGAGTAGTATGTATTTAGGAAAAAAATCCTCTTAAAAAAATTTAAAATAATTTGTCTCCCAGACAGAGAAAAATGTTTCCCCAAAATTTGAACTAAATATTTTCATAAGCCAGGCATTATCGGGAACCATCAACAATAAATAAGCCAAGATGCTGTGCTCTTTTCCCTGAATCATAACATATGCATTATGGAATATACATCTCGGAAAATTCTTAGATGGCTCATTAATTCCCTGATCCATTTCTTCATGCACTACTGAAACTAAGGTGACCTTTCACAAATCAAACTATGTGTACAGCAGACAGTTGTCCTTTCTACTGGAGAAATTTCATTTTTAGGGAAACATTACTAACTGAAGAAATAAGCTTTCAGCTGCTTTCATGTCTTAGACTCAATAAAGGATAAGGATAGGGTATTTATCCCATGAGTGAACACCCTGAAGCAGTAATACGTGGTCGGCTTAAAGGAGATCTAAGAATCTCTGTTTGACGGACTGGCCACTTTCCAAATGAGAAATCAATGACTTGTATTCTGGGTAAAGAAAAGCCAGGATGGTTTATGACTTGTTCTACGTATACTGTGGATCCAGCCAAGCTCTGAATCACACACAGTTGAAGACAGTAAAAGTAACATCCCTTGTCCAGTGAGGTCATCAGCAGCATAAGGTACATTCTGTCAAGACTCTGCATGGACAGTGGCTTGCTAGATTTTGGAAATCAGCCTGTAGAAAGACAGGTATATGTAGCAGGAAAAAGAGGAGATAATATTGTTGGGTTTCAGTGCCTAAGATGGATAGCTAACTAGATGCAGGCTGGTTTTGTTTCTGGCAAGGAGTTACAGAAAAAATGGAATGGGTGAAAGGTAATTGTCTGCAGGAATAGCACACACCTTTATACCTGTAGTATTATGAACAAACTGAAATTCTATTTAGCTGTCAAAAGCAATGCCTATTACTTAATTATTAAAACAAACAAACAAGCAAACAACCCTAAGAAATCTGGTTTGAAGGCTTTACACTATTTGGTATGTCATTACTACGATCACACAGAAGCAGACAGAGAGGGCCATACATTCTGAGGGATTGATCATAACGCTCAAATACATCAAAACCCAACCAAACGAAAGAGGTTAATGAAAGTGTTAAATTATAACAACAAATTCAAAAAAACAGACATAGGACTTAGTAATATTTTTCCCAGCGATTTGTTACATTGTTTACAGCAACATGAATAAAATTACTCTTAAGAAAGACACAATAAAAAAAAGGTAAAAAGCAAAAGCCAATTCCTTGTGTTCTTCAGGTTGTCCTTCTCCACTTGTATGCTCAAGCAGTGTTTTGATCTCTCCTGCTAGGCTGACAGTCTTTAAGAACTTACAGCCCCACCCCATTTATAATGTTTCTAGTGAACTCACACCAGTGTACTAAACCAAAATATCCTTTATTCAGCTCCATGTTTCTATGAGCAAATAACAGCCTGTAGGGATTCAGTGCATCAGCTGCTTAAAAGATAAACCTACCCAGCTTGATGAAAACTCTTCTCCACTTTCCTGTTGAGAGAAAACGGTTACACATTTCTAATAAATGAAGCAGGAACTGTCATTTTTTTGGCAAACTGATAACTAGCTGTAACAGCCGCATTGCCACAAGTTGCTTTTCCAAAGTAATTACCATCAGGCTCCCTGTGGTATGCAGTGTTTAACACATTTCTTCTGTGTTAATGAATGCAAAAGCAGGCAACGCCACTATTAGTAATCGCTTTTTATTCGTAGTCCTCATTTTCCAGATAGGTCACATTAAACACAGCCATTAAACAATAGCGGTTGAGAAAATCCATACAATGTATGCTGCTTTTGGTTGGTTTTTTGTGTCATTCACCAGTCATTGGTGCAACTTTGAGCCATATGGGGAGACAGGGGCTGATAAATGAGAATGCCAACCTGTATCACAATTGGGCCAGAGAAGTCAAAACCTTAATCAGATTTCATTCAATTACACTTCAAGTCAACAAATCTTGATAGCCAAAACTCCCATTTAAATTAATGCAATAATAACTGCTGCCTGATGTCAAAAGAAAGCAATTAAACAATAATGAGTGGGTTTATGTTATGCTAGGCTTCAGACTCCTCCTTGACCTCAGCAATTTCCCTTCCATTTGACAGTAATCAACATGAAAGCTTGTTTGAATGGTGTATCTTGCTCCACTATAAACAAAATTTGACTTCTAAGGGTAACTTGGATTGGGAAATCTCTATTCTTAAGTGGTAAATCACAGTACATGAGAATCTGTTTCCTCATAAATATTCCAATTAATTAAAAAAGAAAAAAAAGAAAAAGGGGGGAAAAGAAAGGTCTGATTTTGAGTTCTGATTTGATTGACCAATTGTATAAGGAACTCTCAGTTGCTGGCTTTTTTAATTAAAAAAAAGATACAGAATGCCTTATTCGCTATTCACAGTGTACAGTACAAATTTATTAGTTGCTCTACTTGCCTCCCTTAACTCCAACTTTCCTTTTATAATCTTGTGACAAATACTTCCTTTCAGTCTTATAAAGCATGTGTGTAAAAAATGAGAGAAATAACTCATAAACTTTATCTTTCATTGCTGCCTCTTTCTCCAATGGTGATAGTAGAGATACCATGGACAAAAAACACTTTAAATTCTTTTGTGTGCAGTACGTCCTTCACACACAATCATGTTAATTTTGACTGCACCAGCAAAACTCACATTGTATAAGCTCTGCTGGTTTATTGGTTCATTATGCATCCATTTTAAATTGTGAAATACATTTTTTAACCTGGGATAATCATATACTGGGAAACAGAATGCCAGAGTTCTACAAGGCAGTTGAAAAACAGATTAAATAAAAGCAAGATTTCCTAAACTCTTCTATAAAGCTGTGAGTCATGACTCTGAATTACCTTAGAGTGGTAAATAAATAATCACTACTAAATACAGATAATGTGTTAAACAGCTAAAGCTAGTAAATCACTAGTGACAGAGAGCCTTAAGGTAAATTCCTCTTACATTGGCACAGCCCTTTCTCAGAATGTTGTGGTTTTATGTCTTCAGAAACATAGAATGAATTGTACAATTGGTTACTCAGTGTTAAAATCATTTATAAAATACACAAATCTCCATCACTTGACTGCATTTACATACTGGCTTAGATTTTGCTGAATAATGGATCTCACTGGCAGAGCTAAAGACTTGGTGCACAGACACTGAAGTGATGGGCACCACAGAAATACGTAGAAAAGACTGATCAAACAATAAGAATCCTCTCCACTATGGAATTTCAAGCTATCAAGCTATCAAGCAAAACCAATCTCGGGTCTCCTGGCCAAGAAAAAAAAAATAAAAAAAATTATATAACACAGACAACACCACGTTTTAGATACATAAATTGTCCAAAACATGGAGAGTAGCTTGATAAGACATGTACAAGATCCTTCCTTTTGCATGTAATTGTAGACATTTTTAACAGGTTCTAAAAGCAATTTGTGAGAATTGGTGTCTCCCAAAGACAATTCATTGTAGGATTGACTAGCTAAAATCACCATTTAAATGCAATCCCAAAACCAAAATAGGCTGTTGGATCAACTTTTTTTCTTGAACTGATAAAAAACTATGGCTTGTGTTATTTCAGATTGCCAACCTCTTTTATATATTTAAATTTAAGAAACCAAATATGTAGTTTTTAAACAATGTGCCATATTGGTATTTCCAGCAGGGTATCTGANAAATCCTGAGCTAAACATTTTATTTTTCTGCTTCTTCTTGTACTGTGGAATTTAATTTGTTTTTTTCTAAGTTTCATCTGAAAGTAATTTTTAATTTTTCAAATGCAGTAAAAGCATTCTTAGGAAACAATAATAAAAAGTAGAAACTATATCTGAAATTATTCTAAGTTATTCTGCAAATATTATTCAGATCAAGTGAAAACCTGACTAAAAACACTCCCCAGAATAAGCAGCATTTATCTAGAACTACAGTAAGTTATTGTGCCTTCTGAAGAATCAGATAAAATACTGCTCATGCCACACTGCCACTGACATATTTTTCAGCTCTATAAACTTAATATCAGAACTTTTAAAATGGTGGCATCTCTGAAGAATTAAATCAAATGTCCTACATTGAACAGGCTGTCAGAATGTGCTGGGAAAAAAAAAAAAACAAAACCCAAGGAGGTTCCAGATGTTGGTTCGAGTGTAATTTTTGTTTTTAAACATGGGTTTGCAGTAGAAGTTTCTACAAGGACTTGCACATAACCATGACTGATGGATGTATTTGTAGGCTGTTCAGTTAGCTCCATCAGCTCACTCAAACATATTTTGAACAGATTATGTACTGCAGTACTTCGTAGACCATACATTAAACAAGAGACTTTGCTCTGAGGCGCTGCTTCCCATATTCCATGGGGAAAAGGAAGCAGGAAAAAACAAAACTCATAGAGTTCGACAGCTACTGAGGCAACACTTGCCATTTACAATATAAGCCCAAATATTTTTGCAACACAACTATATATTAATTTAATAAAATACACAATATAGCTCTTATACACTCAACAATTTGGCTCATATGCACTGAATCTGCAATAAATCAATAAAAATATGTCATTTGATGTAAACACACTGAATCTTCTTACATTTGCACATTTAAATGACCATGTGATTTTTGTGGATGTCTGACATTTTCACTTTCCTGAGCTATTTTAGTGTCCACAAATGAATAAAAAAGTGTTAATAATGTTAATTTATTTTCTGTATTACCCTTAAGGTAACTCTTTTTTCCCCCAAACTTTATTTAACTTCCTTTCCTTTTTTTTTTTAACTTATTACTAACTATTTATAGCTTTGTTGGACACTAAAATGCTAAATAGGTATTAAAATCTTTTTTTTTTTTTCATTTTATCAAGTGAATTAGTTTATGTGTGTGCAGGACAAGATGGACTATATCATTTTACATTTAACCTTAATATGATATGTAGTGTTTCATTAATGATGAGGATATGTTTTCTTGAATAATGATCTGGAATGGTTCTTTTTGTTTTATTGTTCTTTTTTTTTTTCTTTTTTCGTATTTGTGGCAGATAACTTTGTACATAAATGTTTACCACAAATGAATGTTAATGTTTGGCGTCGCTTGGACTACTACAAGAACTCTTTATAGGACTTTTCAGTAGAAGCCTGTGGTGGCTGCTGGAAATTCACCACAGATCAGCATTATTCAACCCTGTTTTTCTTGGGGTTTATACGTAAACAGTAAAGTCAGCATCAGCTATTGAGGACAGTCTTAAAGTATCAGACGTATTTCCATTCCATCTTTCTCACACCTTCCTATCAGATTGTCAAAATGGCACTGTCTTTCCTTCTTTCATTTTGTTCTTGGTGTACTTGACTCTGTCCTAATGAAAGTTTGGTCAAAATGAAACCAGTGTTATCTGTCAAAAAGAAAGAGCAGTGAAAAGAACATACTTGTGGGCACTTCAGATGTTCACTAAAAGCCTTAAAGCAGCATTGGTCTTCCTTCATTCCTGTAATTCTGTTACAACCAGGAAATTTATTTATTTATTTACTTTCAATCAGCAGAAGAGGAAATGCAACTGCCAGCCTGTCCTTATTTTCCCCCTCACTTTCTGATGGCCACAGGGTCGCTTCCCCGACAGTCCTGCAAGAGCTTGTCTATTTCTCTCACAACTTCCTCGGCATCCACGGACTCCCTGCCTAGATCCCGGGCGGAACGGTCTAACTGCTCCAGCACTGAGTCCATCTCACTCGAGTCTCGGCTCACTCGGGAATGCACGTCTGCAAAGGCCCTAGCCATCTGATCTGATGCAATGAAGGAAGTGTCCTTTGACTGTTTACTGGGCGATAGATACTGACTGTCAGTTGACAAGTACTGGCTGCTTGGTTCAGCCAAGGCTCCTGATTTCACTTCACAACCATCCAGTGGTCCTTTTGTTGAGGTGCAAGGCTCAATGCATGTCTTGGTTGGGCTGCTCGATGCTGAGGGAACCTCCTGAAGCAGAGGACTCAGGGCACGTTTGGCTTTTAAGTAAGGTTTAACATTGGCAATGAGAATAGTGTGCTCTCTCTTGTCTTTCCCAAATGTACAAAAAGTCTTTTTCCCAGTGGGGTTCACAGTTTCATATGTCTCAGTCTCAACGTTAGCTTCAACTGTGGGTACAAAGACATTTGTGCGATAATCTGCATTCTCAGCCTGACTGGCTGCAGGGAACTGTGGCATCCAACACCTGTCAGAATGACCAAGCACTCTGCATTCATCTGTGCAGTTAACACATTCTTCTTGTTCTGCAAAACAAAGGAGAAAAAGAAAAAACTCTAATTATAAGTGGATTTATTTAGGCTAATGGATAGGCTATGATCATCACATGATGGGCTTACTTGACATCTGGTTTCTTAATTATGGAGAAAATAGAAGAAGCTATAATTAAAATATTTCAGAAGGTTTGCATAAACCTGTTAGTCGAGACAATAGATTTATTTAACTCTGTTTTCCACATATTAAAGCATTCACATAGCCCAATGGAAGTATAAAGGGGTCATTAGAGACTCATTCTCAGTGGAATTGAGCTTCATCTGTAAACTAATCTGCTGTAGAAATCTTTTAGGCTTTGTTCTGTAAAACTCATACTAGAAAAGAGTGAACAGTACTTAGGGAACTCAAAAGGAATTATAAGGATTAATTTTTGAAATCAAATAACTGAGCAGTGACTGCCTTTCTGGAAATACAAACACTTCATAAAAATCAGCAAGCTGGTTTTTCTTTTTTGTCACCTCTATTTCATTTGTAATTGTTATGTTGTGTGACAGTCACAAAATAAAAAGGTTTTCTTAAAAGCCTACTTTTCCTGCTGAGAACAGAGAACTAGAATCTTCCATCAGTATGCATTAAATATAAGCTTGTCAAAAAGTGCATATTGCAATTTTATTAGACATGAGTATGGATCATGTAATCAGTTTTCCCCTTTTTTGTTTTGGTGCAACTAAGTGAAAATGGATTTGCTCAATACATACAATTTGGAAGAATGACAAATGGTGACACGCTATTTGAACTGATGATGTTTTCAGATAGGATTTCTATATCCTTATTTCTTTCAAAGAATACAGTTAAATGAGATTCCTTTGCTACACTTTTATAACATAAGTTTTGGTACTTCCTGTTCTACAATTCAAAGAAAACTTTCTGTTTTAAAACCATTGGCTTAAGTGTCATTTACATTAAATAGGTTACATTTGGGGCAATATTTACTGTCTTGTAATTGTACTTACAACTCTAACCAAAGTATCAGGAATAATAATAATAATAATAATAATAAATCGAATAAATCCTTTTATAATCTCTAAAGTTTCAGTTAACTATACATTGATCTTTAGCTATTAATAATTTCCCTTTCAAAAAATGGGCAGATGGGTTCAATACTAATTTTTTGATGAATTTAGTATTTAAAAACTACATGAAGATCCAGTTAGACAAAAATTCCTGTTAGAATACCTTTAAATATAAGGATGAATCACATATACAGAGACATGCAGAGCAAGTCTTCAGAAAAGCAAAACAAATATGTTGACCCAAAGATGGGGAGAATTTAAGCAATCATCATTTTTCTAAATTAGAAAATAAATGCCTAGTAATCTTATATCACCATCTGATTAATGGATGACTGCACTGCAGAAACATGAGAAAAGAAACACAAAAGATGTTCTATGGGAATCCAAGAGTGTAAAAATTTTTTCACATTTCTGAAAAGATATGAATAGATAGGACTTAAATTAAAATTGTATTATGCCACAGTGATGTTAAGCTGGGATAATTTGCTCTGAACTGATACTTGTTAATGATACAATTGCGTGAAAAAGTGTCATTCTGTATATGTGCTCCTTTCCTTGAAGACTTTAAAATCTAAGTCTGGTGTAAACCCTGAAAAAATACCAAAAGCAAGAGAGAATTAGGTACAGGCACAGCAGAACAAAGTGATTGTTGAGGAAAAGGATGCAACATAAAGGCTTTAAACATAAAATTCGTAGAGGTGAGTCAACCTCTGCTGTGTACCTGGTAAAATTATGGAACAGATCTTCCTGGAAGCTGTATCAAAACATATGGAAGATGGGGAGGTGATTAGACACAGACAAGAAGGCTTCTTTGAAGACTGATTGTGTCTGACTAATCTGGTGGCTTCCCATGACGGAGGCATCAGTGGACAAGGTTAAGTATTTTGTAAGGCTTTTGATATGGTCAAATATTGATATGGGTCAAAGTATTCTTGGTTCTAAATTGGAGATTAATGTATTTGATGATGGACTGTCAAATCAATAAGGTAGTGGCTGGATGGTCGCATGCAAACAGTTGCAGTCAATGGCTCAATGTCCAAGTGAGAAATGTCCCTCCAGGGTCCACATTGGGACTAACATTATTTATTATCTGCATTAACGAGATAGACAATGGAACTGGGTGCATCCTAGGATCACAACAAGCTGAGTCATGCATCTAGTTCACTGGAGGGAAGGGATGTCATCCAGAGGGACTGTGACAGGCTTGAGAGGTGGAGGCCATGTGAACATCATGGAGTTCAATAATTCCAAGTGCAAGGTCCTGCACCTGGGTTGAAGTCAAATATCAATACAGAATGGGGGATGGACAGATTGAGAGCAGACCTGTTGAGAAGGATTGGGGATACTGATGGATGAAAAGCTGGACATGAGCCAGTAGTGTGTGCTCACAGCCCAGAGAGCCAATTGTGTTCTGGGCTGTATAAAATGAAAGCAAGCAGATTTAGATTGTACATGAAGCTCTTTGATATGAGAGTAGTGAGACACTGGAACAGATTTCCCATATAAATTGTGGATGTCCCATCCCTGGAAGGTTTCAAAGTCAGGTTGGACAGGACCTTGAGCAACCTGATCTAGTGATGGACAGTAGATATTTCAAAGTCCTTTCTGACCCAAACTATTCAATGATTCAACAACCTCTAAGGAAAATTAATCCACACACGGGTTTTAGTATTCAATAAAAACTAAAATTATTATGATGAAAAGCAGGAGTAAAATAACCCCAGCCTTAGGACAGCAAGAAAGTGGCAGATCTGAAAAGATTTAAGGAAGGAATTTAAGTTTGTTGTGTTTGATTTTACTTCACTTGATGTGAAGCTTGATGGCATTGGTATGCATAACCACAGAGACAACATATGTGTGGCAATTGCTTAATGAAATGGGAGCCATACAAATGAAGGACATAGCTATACACCTCATTCCACCCATTAGTTCACCTCCACTAAAATTCTCCGTATCTAGTTTTCTGGAGCTTCTACAACATCAAACAGCTGCCGCTTTAAAACATCCAAGGGAAATAGTTACTGTCTCTCTCTCTCTCTGGCTTTAAAAAAAAAGGAAAAAACCCCAATATATACCCAAACAATCAAACCACCTCCTCCTCCAAAAAAGAAAACCCACCCAGAAACCTAAAACTCCACGAAACAAACAAATCAATATATTTTTAAAAACACCCTCTTCTTCCTGACCTTTCAGAGTAGATTTGTGGCAAGCTCAGCATCTAACATGAAAAGTCGACTTACAGAAATAGGAGAAATCGGTGTTTTCTTCGGGATTTTCCCTAACAATATCTAAAGTTATTTTTCTCTTACATGGAATTCATGACAATTCTGAGTAAAAGCTTTCTGGTACTTTTAAAAGTTTACCTAAACAACTAATCAGCTTTCTAACTAACTCTTTTATTGTAAGCTTAACTATCCTTTGTATGGATATTTGTAAACAATTTTGTTGCTTTATAACACAAGACAAAAATAAAACCCTGCTGCATGTTAGCTACCATAAAATGCTCAGAATTGCACAATCAATGGACCAGTACTTTTCTCTGCTGCTCTCTTTTCAATTACTCTATCAAAGCAAGATCCCTCTTCCCAAACATTACAGTCTATTTCATTATACCACAAAAAAGGCCATCTGTAGAAGGAAAACTCTTTCTTTCATGTTCTATGTTATATTATCTTAAAATACATTAAATAAATATTCATATATATATATAATTCTCTGCTATGTACATTGACAGCAGACACACACACACATATATATGACATATAGAACTAGAAAATTCTATTTTGACACCTATTCTTTTTCTAAAACTCGTCTGAACTGTATTTCTTTAAAAAAAATAAATATTCCCTGAACTAAGATTGAAATGAACAAGCTCAGATGAAAGGTAAAGATGAGAGAAGTTCTCAGTCACTGGAAAAAAGTACTGTAACCTTATTTAGTAGGTATTCAGTACTGTGCCAAAAACTATGCTTTAAGATTTTCAACACTCATTAGGTTAATTTATTACAACCAAGTTATATTTGAAGATTTACATTTTTAGCTCTCACACACATGCATACACATACACTGCTATGAAGAGAAGCCTTACACAGTGTTTAGATTATTCATTACTGCCAACAAAAGTACAAAGTTTGCTGGAAATCCGTAAGTAAAAGATATATATGTCATATAGCGTATATATGCTATGTATATATTTCATGCTCTATCTTCTTTCCCCTTCTCATTTTTTGTATTTGTTAATGCCATTTTTATACTTTCATTCCTACTCACTGTATCAACTAACTTTCCATTTCTGTTCCCTGAACATGGCAGCAGTGACTGAACTAAATATGAAGCCAAAAAACAACAGAAAGCCCCACAAAATGACCTTGAATTGAAACCCACCTGCATTGCATGAGCTTTGGTGCTCTAGCCCTGAAAATCTCTTTCTTTTCATTTCACTCTTTTATGTCACATCATAGGGAACGGATTTTGAGTATTGATTATCATACATTATAAGCTGCTTGTCTCACCATTAGCCTGTAATTTTGACTGCTCTAGCTAGCACACAGTGAAGAAAATCAAACAGGGATTTTTGTACTGGTAGCAGAAACTACAAACACAAAGTGAACTATCACCACCAAGAGCCGAATTAGTACATATGAGAAAATAGAATCAATTTAAAGGTAAATATAGAAATATATATGTAAAAAAGGTTATATGCTGTGCTGTACAGCAAGATACGCTGGTAGAGTGATATGCACCATCGGTCTTTATCTCTGTGCTTGTCTCCCTCCTGTTGAAAATAAACCCTTAACAGTGCATGTGTGTACAATAAACAGAAGCAGTCTAGAGGTTTTCCTAATTCTCTGGAGCTCTAAGGGTAAACAGTCAGAAGTGCTTTATGCACTTAGGGGAGAACATACACTAAAATAGAACTGCTAAATTATCAGCCGTAGAAAGAAAAGGAAACAAGATATCTGTAAACAACAGTCGCCTAGATAGGAAACATATTCTGAATAGAAATTTAAAGATGGTGTAGGATGAAAGTTATATTGGCAACATATAAATGGTAATGCAAGGTATGTATTTTGGCACAGCAGAAGACATATCTTACATATTTTATTCTATTACCAGAGGAGTTATATTTAACATTTGCCTTCCATAGCAAGCTAAAAGAAAAAGATTTTTTATTCTGATACCTACAATTTCCTACACTTTCTTTATAAATATTGTGAACAGAATTAATTATGGGTACTGATTTCACCCTAAATATATTGCACTATGAAGTTAATTAATTAATGCTTTAGATAACTGGCTCTTTCAATGGCTAAAACAGATATCTTATTTTTACTCACTAATTATATTAAATTTGCATAATGATAACAAAGAAGAAACTCAAGAATTATTATTTTTTTAAACAGTGACTTGGTGAAAAAATCAAGTCAATAAATACAATGTTTTCTGCAATTTAACTGGACCCTAATTATTTAAATTATTCATACATACAAAGCAGAAAAATAAATGGAAGGTAAACATCAGCATGTAAATATTACCAAGAAATATTTTATGTACTATACTTATAGGTTGAAGAACACTATAATCTGTATTGAAGTACTCCATACAATTAAATAATAAATGTCAAGATTCCCACATATGGGAAATCAGACTATAAATGTATCTACAAGCACATATAATATATGCTTTTATATCTATATTTATGTAAATAAATGAATTTACCTTTAAAGCCTGATTACCCCTATGCACAGACCTGGATATATAAATAGGCTATTCTTAGACCTACAGCTAGATCTATGCCATTCTGTTTCTCATAAAATCTGTAAATTATTTTGTCAAGTTTTATTTGGAGTTAAACAAGGCAGACAGGGTTAAGATCATTATAATTTATAAGATTTCAACTGATAGTCATTCAAGTACATTCTTTCTTAAGAACTTTTTATTCACAAAATATTTTAATATCTAGCTTTTATCGTCATTTGTTCATCGATAAAGACTAAATAAGAATATGGCTATGTAAATACATGAATAAAACCAAACATTTTAAAATACCAGTAGCTTTTGTTATTTTTAATTGTCCTAGGAAAGCCTATCTTTCAGATATCCCTTTAAGTCTCTCGACAGGGAAAGTCTAGTTTTTTCTATTGCATGAACACCTTCTTCTAACTGACTATTTTTTAGATTCCATTCTATAAATGTGGAAGCTAAAAATAAGCCTTAATTGTCAGGGATGTTTCGTAGGTTGATTTTGTTGACTGAAATGACTATCAACTAACAGGTCCAAATAAAAAATAAACCAGAGGATCCATTTCAAAATATATGTAGCTTTCTTTTTGAAAGCAGGCAGTTTCACAGTCCCTTCACTCTTGAAATGCTCTATTCTTCATTGCATTACAGAGAATACTAAAGCACATCTTTGATGACCATTTTTCCACATGACAAAGATCTGTCTATGAATGCGTCCATGGAGTTCACACTGATTTGTGCAGGAGATCGGGTCCATTCACCCTTGATATTGTGAATTTGTGTCCATTATTGAAAATATTTCCATTTAGAATTTACTCAGTTATGAGACAAAGTGTAAAATTATCTGCAGCTTGTATTTCTCTAGTCTAACCACAAACACAGTATTCTTTACTCACAGGGTGATGAGGCACTGGAACAGGTTGTCCCATTCCTAGAAGTGCCCAAGGCCAGGCTGGATGGGGCTTTGAGCAACCTGGTTTAGTGGAACAGGGGGATTGGAACTAGATGATCCCTCCCAACTCAAAACATTCTGTGATTTTATTTTAAAAAACTCCACCAACACCAGTACTTGTTTTAGACTAATGAAATAATATTATGCTTCATATTCTTAATACCTTAAATAGATATGAAAGATCTGTATTTTCTGTACATATGTATAAGCAGATGGACAATAAATGCCACATAGTATGTAAGAGAAAATGTAATTAACTCTGCTTTTCAGAACTTCAGTAATTCCTAAAATATGACCAGAAAACCTCACATAAGTTACATGAAATGATGGGTTACTTTTTTTTTTTTTTTTTTTTTTTGAGACAGCCATTTGCCTTCACTAAAGAACTGGAAAAGCTATAAGTAGATATTTATTACAGGAAACAAATAATGTGTGCTTTGGCATGTCCTAAACACTGGGTCTATATGACATTTCTATTGAGAACAATCAGCTAAAGCACTACCTCTGTGGTTGGATTTCTGTTTAATTACAATTGATTTTGACATAAATGAGCAGAGATAAACAAATACTTCTATACTTCTCTCGCTGTTATTAAACAGAGCTGTCTCCTATCTGAGTATTTATATTGGCTTGTCTGTTTAAAGGCTCCTTTCAGTCAGGCAAAGCAATTATGTAGCTCAGATTAGCAAAATGACTGGCAGTAAAATGAGAGTGGACTGCCACATTTTTAAACCTCTTTGATCTCATGTTTTTCTCCTGATATTATAAATACAAGTTTGTGAGGTCTGTAATCCTTACACAGTTTCCCACAGGTGGTGTTGGGCTTTTGTTCAGTTGGTTTTGTTTGCTTGTGGACACAGGCTAAAGACTATACATTTTATATTGTTATGACATAAAACACTTCAAAAAGCCATAAAAACATGATGGCCTATAGATTTAATTCTAGGACACATTTGTCCCAGACAATAAATATTGGAGGAATATTTCAGGATTACAGGCAGCACTACAGAAAATTTAAAACATTTCATTCAGAAGTATGTTCTAATTAAATGTTTACAATTTAATGACAAACATATATTTTTATTTAAAAACAATATAAGAGAAAGAAAATATTTGTATTACCTGAAAATTTTCCATCCTCACAGCGAGCTGGTCCACAGATCCCAACAATGGGTCTTTGGCCTCTGCCTTGCTGTTCTGGAGGCAAATCAGACCTGTGAGTCACAGACAGGGATAGGCTCTGCTTCCAAAATTCACAACAATGTCAAAACTTCTGCAGCAGAAAAACAGCTTCTACCTGTGGCCCAGACACAGCTCACAGACCTTGAAATTTTTCACTACTTTTCTCAATGGTACAAACACACAGTTTTATACGTGGCAGTGAACTGAAAATGTCTAACTAGTAAAAAGTATGTCTCATTTCTTCCTAATAGATGAGAAAGAAGAAAATGGACCCCCAGTCTTAATTTACAGTGTTTGTCTATAAGTTGACTGGCCCTGACTAATTTGCAGTGAAAAGACCATACAACAGTCATGAAACAGTCATTTTGGTGTCTTTCCCAGTCCACATAAGGAAGTCTTCCTAGCCCAGGGCTGCAGGTAGCAAACATACAAAAGCTAGCTGTGCTAGCCTTGCACTCAGCCGAGAAGCTACTGGGAAACTTTAGCAATATGACACACTGATAGTTTTAAACTGTCAGTCTTTGTTGCAGAACTCCCAGCTGTTTCCTGAGAAAGAAGGAAAAACTCAACTGCAATAATTAATAGAACAGCCTAATGGATCTTTTAGAAAGTACATTTTTAATATAGTGCGTTTTCACTCTTGATCAAGGCAGTGCCAAAGATAATACAGTGGGATTGTTTCAGGAACCAGTATCTACAAAAGCAATGACTCTTAAATCTGAAACCTAACTGAACTTGTGCAATCATTTGCACAATTTGCATGATATTCACATTATTTTTACTAACTTTATTGTGAGGTAGTCATAATTATAGTATCAATGATTTCCATATCTAATGTGCAGCATTTACTAAGTGCATATTGTAGTGTAGCAATGCTTATAATCTAGTCATTAGGACCATTGTGAGCTCGCCTATACAAATATTAACAGATTGTATAGTTAGAGACAAAAGGTAACAAGTGATTATGACAAACAAAAGCACTGAATGGGAAGAAAAGACAACATTAATGAAAATATAATCATGCTGTTGACATTTCCTTATAATACCAATATAAAAGCTCCATAATTTAAAGAAGCTATCTCCATCTGTCAGACCATCAAACCACCAGTGATGAGCTATATGTTACACCACTGAACCTTTCTTACGGTTGCCAATTATCTCAGTGTACAAATCTTTAATTAGAAGGTACCAAGCTATTCGCTTTGCAAGCTTGCCTCAAATTTTGATATGACAACTTGTTTACAGATATTGACTGAGGAGGGTGCCACTAAGGAAGAGACATGACAGGTTTCTGAAGAAATCTCTATGCCCTTTGGATGGCTCTGTTTACATCCTGACTGTAGGTAGACTCTATTGAATGGAAGTCTGTCAGCCTGTGTGTAGGAGCCAGGTTAGTCCCAAACAAAATCAATGCAGTAATGGTCTTCAAATGCTACCTCTTTTCCTTTGCAAAGTCTCATAAAAACAATTACAAAGCCTGCATGGATGCTGAACCATTCAAAATGGGGCCACTTTGGTGAAAGAGAGTATTTTCCTCCACACTCCTTCCAGTATGCCTGGATTTACATTGAAAATCTCCTTTAACAGGAGAACAGTCTATCCATAATGAGACCATGTCAGTTTTATACTGATAGATGGAAAACCCTACTGGGTATCATCCTCTGCTTCAAAAGGTTGATGTCGTCAGCAGATGGTTTCATGGAAGGTTTACAATGCATCTGACAGAATAGGAGGAAGAACAATTTTCATGATGCTGCTCTTAGAAAAAAAAAAAAACGTTAGTTTGTCTAGACATCTTAGGGAGCTCTTATTTGGACATAGAGATTCAGAAATATCTTCTTATAAAAGAAAAAAAAATTAAGAGTTTCATGTAGTCTTCCCCATGCTAAGTAATATATTCATTATCGTATGATTAGAGGGTCCCTTAGACTATTATTTAGGAGATTGTTGGTGTGATGTTACCACCTTCGAAAGAGATCTGCAGAATGGGATTACCCTTGTGTCACTTTATGAAGAATTCACATTCTCTTAGCAATTTAAGTTTCATAATGCTATCCTACTTAACTTTCTGCCTGGATAGTGCCCCAATTAGATCAATCAGAAAGGAAAATTAAGGATGTATTTTTCAAATCTGACTCTCTAAATATAACCAGTTTGGCAAAGAGAATTATACATGTAAACAGATTCAAAACTGCATTTTCAGGTTCTCCATGAACAGTGGATTAATTTCTAAAAAACATTTACTGAAGATACCTTCAGAATATGAATATCTTCCTTTTCCTAGATCCTTCATCAAGACCTCAAAGTTACAGATCACCTTCTTATATTTCAGGGATTGAAGAGATTATAGATATTAACACCACTAATACAGAAAAATCTCTCCTACTAGTTACTTTTATGTGCAGCAGTTCAGCTGCTCAACTGAGACTCACCTTTTTACTTGTCATATTTTCATTTGCTATAGCTTTAATTTATGATGTCAGAATACCTTGATGTGACAAAAGATAGCTTTAAGAAAAACTATCAATTTGGAGAACTATTTCCAAAGTTGCTGTCATTATGAGTTCTTTGTTTTCAATAATGTCTTCACTTTTTATGCCTGGTAACTACTGGAAGCTGTTTTTCTGTTGTCTACCAATATCTAATCTGAACCATGTTCTTATAAAAAGTATATTTTAGTCTTGGAGATAGACTTAAAAGCTAATTACAAATATCATGACCAAGTAAGATGCAGTCAGAGTAATTTCTGTTAACTGTGCCTTCAGCTTACTTATCTGAACACCCTACAAAGGAAATCAGCAGTGAGGCATTAGAGAAGTTAAACACTGCTCTGGTAAAGCAAGTAAAAGATGTAGCTGCTAAATTTAAAGCTGTGGAAGGACTCAGCATAAGCCAGTTAACACGAATCTATTGACATCCTTTAAGAAAAATCTTTATTCTGTAGAGATGATAAAGGTACTACACCCCTAGAAATGGGGAAGAAATGTTATAAAATGCAGTAAAACCTATTCTAGATATGGATCATTGTCAACTTTCTCAGGGTATTTAAAGCAATCTTTTAATTTACTGGAACTTATCATGATAATATTTACTTGATTTAGGATTTCATGTATGCTTTTACAGCATGACTTGATTTTAATGGGTCCCCCTCCTCCCAGGCTTATTGTTGTATTAGAAAAACAAAAGGCAAGAGACCTGTACAGTTATTATTATCTTGAATTCTGAGTATCACAGATAATTGAAAGCAGAGAAATCTGAGCCCCAATATCTACTGCATGGTTCTTCAAAAACAGCCTCTGGCTTTCCTAATAAAAATGTAGCTTTGCTTTGTTTTTCTTTAAGAAGAAGAACTGCTTTAATTCCCAAGGAGACAAAAATAAAGCACCATATCTGAAAGTAAGGCTCAGCCTGACCTTCAACAAATTCTGTAAGGAATTAAATTAAGAAAAAGATATCTTATGGGAAAAGGAATCAAACTTTTTTGTGTTGTTTTGTGTCCACCTGTTACACAGGTGCCTGTGCTCAGGTGCAGTATGTATACCATTTCTCAGGTACCTAAGAAATAGTCTAGTAGAGCTCTAAACTTATTTGCAAGCTCTCAAGTGACTCTCTGCAGTTCCAGCTGAAGATGGATACAAGGCAGCTAATTTGCTACCACCAAGGGAAAATGTTATAACATAAAAACATTCCCTCCCTTAGCTTCAAAACTGTTGAGTGCCTAGGGAGCCTGACTATTTGTGGAGCTGATACTATGCATATGCTTCCTCTGTAACTGCTACATGCATACATCTGGCATCTGTCTCTGTGTTAAACAGACTTAATTGTCCCCAGTATTACTATGTAGAAACCCTCTATTCTAGATGGGTAATGTGAAAGAAATAAATGAAAGGATTTATATGACTTCTTTTTTTTGGCTTTTTTTTTTTTCATTATTGGCAAAATATGTAATGAACTCTGTAGTACGACTATAATAAAATATTTTAGCTGTGCCTTCTGTGTAACTTTAGGTAGAGATTATGTTCTTGTCTTGGCATGACATTTGCACCTTGTACAGTCTTTTAATCAAATGGGGTTGTTTTAACTGGAACTCTTTTTTCTATTTATTCTTCTTTTATTTTTTTTTTCCTTTCTTGGTTGTTTATGACCCCTCTTTTATCCACATCAGACTTCAGAGCTTTTAATAATTTGCTAAACATAGCTGGACTGATTCTGAAGATATGTAATTTCTGGGGGTTTTTTAGGTGTTATTAGGGGGACTCTAGTACATGCTAGTACATTTTTCAGATCACTATTGCCAGTAGAGTCAAGACTCAGGAAAAGCACTTGATTTCAGATTTCAATATATTTTTAAAAGATCAAAGAGCATGGAAAATCTTGTTCTTTGGTTAGACAGACCATGCAGAACAGTAATACTCTGAAAGATGGAGGTAGCTGCACAGAACTAATACTAAATTGAAGGCCTTTTGAAGTTTCTTTAACCTTTGTGTCAATGTTCATCTTAAAATCCTCCAGCAAAGTAAAAAAAAGTTTTTAATTGAGAAAACACACAGAAAGGAGTTCTTCCTGTAAAATAAGAGGGGGGAAAAAAACACAAAAAAAATTGCTTGTTTGACATCTGAAATTAGTCATGACAGCAAAGATGAAATATCCTCAAGGTTCTTCTTCTACTAAGATTTATTTCTTTGAGCAAGACTAAAAAGCATAGACTTTCCTAGTGCAACTGTACCTGCCCAAGTCTATTTAGGACTCAGAGTAAAGCTATTCCTACAGCTGAGATCTTCTGAAGACCCTGATTTTCTGCTACCATGTGCATTAAACCCTAGGGAGTAGGAAGACAGGCCATAGGTTTTTTACCCCTCCTGTTAAAGCTTTATTATCATGCAACAGGGAAAGCAAACCAGAGAGAGCTTCCATTTAAACTCCTGTTTATGGGAGAGTTCTTGTCAGTCAAGGGACTGAATAAAAGCCCACAGGATGTAGATTCAGATGCTGAATATTAGTTTCATCAGTGACAC